GGATGCACACTGAGCCGTGTAGTCGACCAAGAGGAAGGGGAGGAGGGAGGTGTAGGCCAGCAAGCTCGAAGCTGCATCCGTCGCCACCCTGGCCGCCACCGCACAACAAGAGGCCACAATCGTAAAGAACAAGGAACTCGTTGCTGCGGTCATGAGGGAGGCCCTACTCTACCTAGGGTTAAACCCAGGCTAGCACGGGCTCGTTGCTGCCACCGTGGCCGCGACCAATACTAGCTCGTCGACCGTTCCTCGTCCACCAATGCCAGAGTCGTCGCGCACGTCCACCACGCCACAGACGCCCCGACTTTTATCCCCACCCGCAAGCCTCCCGTTTCTCCACCTCTCTTGGGGACTGTTCACTGGAGGTGAGCATCGTCGCGCCGACCATTCCCGCGCCCATGGCCATCGACCTCAACGCCATACCTATGACTGATGGAGCGTCCACTAGGGGCAAGAGGAAACGTCTGCAGGAGATCCCCGCTGGCATGCATCCCGATGCCCACAACCCATTCGACACAATGCCGAACACAGGCGACGAGACAGCCAACCATTTCGTCATGGAGAACATCATCTTCGAAGGCGGTGTGGGTGGCGCAGCCTTCGATCTCAACAAGACCCAAAGCCAAGACAGTCGACGCCCCTTCATGGCCGGCCACGAGGGCACGACCAACACATTTTCTCAAGGTATGCCTGACCCCTTCACGCAAGGCCAAGATGGCATGGGAGACACTTTCCCGCAAGACCACGAGTTCCCGGAATACTACGACCTAGAAGAAGAAGAAGAAGAAGCAGACATCGAGGGGGGCTTTGTTTTTTGACGACGAGCTCTCCACCCAAGCCAATGCAAACAAGAAGCGCCAAAGCATTCATACGAAGGCATACACAAAGGATGAGGACAAACTCCTTTGTGAATGTTGGAGGGGCATTTGACAAGACCCCAAGGTTGGCGCCGAGCAAAAGGCATCAACCTTTTGACGATGAGTTCATCGCGAATTTCATGAACGTAAGAAGTTCGCACCGTACAAGATAGAGAGCAAGCATGGGTGGGTGCCCTCTCGAAGCGTTGGAGGGTGATACAACAAGAGCGCAACAAGTTTTATGCCACCCTTGAGAGCATCGAGGGTTGTGCCATGAGTGGCCTCGGCATCAAAGACATAGTATACATGTGTCCATCTTCGTTTTTGTTGTTTCATGCTTGCATGTCCATTTGCCCATATGCTTGCATGTCCATTTGCCCATATGCTTGCATGCTCTTCATTTGTACGTATTCCAAGCTTTGGCAGCATTCAAGTCCCAATAGGGGAACACGTCGTTCAACCTCACCCATCATTGGATGGTCATAAACATGGACGAGAAGTTCAAGGAGCAATATACCGCCCTCAAGGCGCGTGGAGGACCGGAAGCCGCCAAGGAGCATGGTGAGGGAGAGAAGTCGCGGCCACGGGGAAAGACTAACTCCAAGAAAGAGGACAAGCGTGATGGGACGTCAATTGCCTCCATGCAACTTTGGAAGTCATGATGACCAAGAAGGATACAAGGGAGGAGAAGAGCTGGCAAGACAAAGAAGAGCAAATGAAGGCCTTTATGGAGATACTGAGGAAAGGGGCTCGAGATGGAGGCGGAGAAGCAAACGAAGAAGCTCGAGATGGAGACGGAGAAGCAAAGGAACATGTTCGAGGTCGAGGCTACCAATGCCAAGACCAAAACAAAAGAAGTGGCGCTCGCTTGCATGATGAAGGGCGTGGAGATCATGAAGGTGGACTTGAGCATGATGTCCCTGAGGAAGAGTCCTTGGTTCAAGAAGATGCAGGCCGACATGCTCAAGCTTGAGAGTAAATTGCACAGAAGTACCAAAATTGGGGCATTGGAAGCAGATTGGTACCAAGATTCGTAATTTTTACGTGTCAGTACCAAGATTGGGGTGAGCCGTTGCAAAAAAGACTAAAAGTGTGTTTTATACGTATTGACAGAAAAGCTGACCGGTTGGGCCCGCCCGTCAGGCGCCACGCAGGCCAGTGCGCGCGTGCCCGCACGCTGACTGGGCGCTGACTGGGACTAGGCCGGCTCACACCGTTTAGGTCTCGCTGGTGCGACCAAGCCAGACCCCGACCCCACTCTTCCCTCTTCCTTCTCCTTGCACCCTCGCCGGCGGCTGCCTCCCCGCCCGCCCCGCCGCCCGCCACACCACGCCACCATAGCCATGGATCAAACTGCTTAGGCGTTGTCACCTCCCCCGCGGCTGCTCCTCCCTTGTGCCCTCCTCTCCCCCGCGGCTGCTGTGCCCTAGGCGATGATGGCCTCGGCTACTCCGGCAGGCGGCGATGGTCGGGGCGATGCAAGCGGCGGCGACCTCCCCTGCTTAGGCCTCGATGGCAGTGGTGGCTACTCCAGCTCGGAGTACAGTAGCGAGGATGAAGATTTTGCGGAGCCGGCGTTGTCGATGGAGCAGAGGCTGAAGATGGCGCGAATTTGGGTGGCCAACCCTAGCACCGCCCATCACTGGACTCATGGCTTCGGTGGTGTTCTATAAGTGTTCCACTGTTCCATTCTTGCAAAGTGAAATTGGGGATTAGGGTTAGGGTTTACTGCCTGGTTTACTGCTTGCATGTTTAGCACTCTAATTGCTAGTCCTAAGTAGAGCAGAGAAGTATAGTGGATTACATGAGTCCTAACTAGAGCAGAGCAGAGCAAAGCAAAGCAACATTAGTGGATTACATTGTTATTTCTTAGTCCAAATTTTCAGAGCAACATTAGGTGTTACCTAGCTAGAGCAGAGCAGAGCAGAGAAGCATAGTGGATTAAATGATTCCTAACTAGAGCAGAGCACCATTAGTGGACAATTCTGTTAACTACTTATCTGAAAATACAAACCATCAGTTTGCTGTCAGTTAAGTACCCACTCTGTAATAATTGTTTACATTGTTTGATTTTTTAGTAATTGTTTAGTTTATATGTTAACTTAAACAAAGCTATGTTTATATGTTAACTTAAACAAAGCTTTGTTTATATGTTATTCTATCTGTTAAGTAATATTGTTTATTAACCATTTTTGTCTGTTATTTCATTTTGCAGTTTGTATGATGACATTTTGGATGTTAGGTTCTATTTTGATGCTTCAGAAATGTTTGAGCTAAAGCTCTGCAGTTCAGATGTAACATACCTGAATATGATTGCAGTGATGGAAACCCAAGGATTTAGTGAATATGATCTGCTGTTTCACATTGAGAATCCACAATTAGGGGAGAAAGGATTGGAGATGGTAGAGTGTAATGCTGAGTTGCAATTAGTAAAGAAGCAGGTTGAGGAGTCTAAGGTCTTAAATTTGCTAGTGAGGGCATGTCCACCTCCTTGCAGCCAGTTTGAGATGCAAGAATTATCCACTGTTGTGTATGAAGAGCCGGTGTTATATGATCTCAGTGAGCCACCCATCTATGCTGTTAATGAAGAAGGAGTTGCATTTGAAAGTCAGAGTAGCAGCTGCAGTGTAGCTCATGGTACTGGTGTTTGCACACAAGAGAGCAAGAATGTAAAAGGAAAACTGAAAGCTGTTTTGGAAATAGAAGAAGAAGAGGGATATGATGGCAGTGGTGGTTCTGATTGTGAAGGTGAAGAGGACAGTGATGTACCACCTTTTTATATGGGTGATGCTGATGACATAGAGATGGCTGAGGGAAAGAAACAGAAAGAGTATGATGAAATGGAAGAGGAAGAAACAGATGATGAATAATCTGAGGAGGAAGAAGTGGTGCATTATGAGGGTGACACAGAGGTTGAGGAACCTTTTCAAATGGATGAAGATGACAAAGTTGTTTCACAGGATGAAGAAACTGTAATTGTACACGAAGAGAAGAAGAAGAAGAAACAGAAGCTTCCAGTTAGGAGAGCGCCTACAACAAGGTCACATTCAAGTGTAGTACTAGAGGAGGAACCTGATTTCAAACCTTCATCTGATGAAGAAGAGAAATGATTGTTGAAGGAGGCTGATGATGATGGTTTTGAGCCATTGTCATTTGTGCTGCCAAAGAAAAGGAAGAGCAGAGCAAAGCAGAGGCCTCCTAGAAAATGGTACAATGAGAAAATGGAGGCACCACATGAGCAATTAAGTCTACACATGTGTTTCTTGGATCGACATCAATTTAGAGAGGCTTTGTTGAACTTACACATCACTCAAGGCAGAAACTTCAGATATCATAGGAACTCATATCAAAGAATAATTGTAGAATGCAACCAAAAACATTGCAACTTCTTTATGGTGGCAGCAGTTATAAAAGGTGAAACTACTTTTGTAATTAAGAAGATGAGAATTAAGCACACTTGCCCTATTAGTACAGAGACAACAAGGGTAAGTGCCAAGTGGCTTGCACAGAAGTATGAGTCACTGTTCAGATCTGATCTAACAACTGGCATTCAGACTTTGATTGATGCTTGCATGGAGAAGTATGGTGTGGATGTGCCCAAGTCAATGGCATATAGAGCAAAGAACATAGCTATTGATGTTGTGCTAGGAGACCACAAGAAGCAATACCCTAGGTTGAAAGACTATGCTCACACAGTGATGGATACAAACCCTGGGAGTAGAGTAGTAGTTACTACTGTAACTCCAACACCCACCGAAAAAATCCCCCATCCAGGTCCAAGATTCCATGTTATGTTCTATTTTGCATCAATGGAGCAAGGGAGGGGTTTCTCAAGGGGTGCAGACCATTCATTGGTTAGTTTGTTCACCTTGTGCATTAGTTACATATTGTTTCATCTTGAAATGCATTTGAATGTTTTAAATATTGAATTTGCTTGCTCATTCAGGTGTTGATGGGTGCTTCATTAAGTTAACTACTGGTGTTCAACTACTTGCTGCCACTGGTAGAGATGGCAACAACAATATATACCCACTAGCATTTGGTATTGTTGGGCAAGAGGACACACCTAACTGGTGTTGGTTTCTACACCAACTTAAAATCTGCCTAGGAGGAGAAGAGGGACAGTTTGGTCCATATACAATAATGTCAGATAGACAAAAGGTATGTGCTTGCATCTTATGTCCTTGTTCCTATATGGTTGTTTTTGTGCTACATAGTAGCTTAGCTAGTTTAATTGTGTGTCCCAGGGCCTACTAAATGCAGTGAATGTTGTCTTTCCTAAGTGCAACCAAAGGTTCTGCCTTAGGCATATCTATGCAAACTTCCAAAATGCTGGGTTTAGGGGGGAAGATCTGAAGAAGTGTATGGATAATGCTGCCTATGCATATAGTGAACACAAATTTAACATTGCAATGAATGACCTTAGAGCTGAATGTCAGGAAGCTTGGGAGTGGCTTTGTCAAATACCCAAGAAAACATGGGCAAGGCATGCATTTGACACAAACTGCAAGACTGACCTTGTAGTTAACAATTTGTCTGAGGTGTTCAACAAGTATGTCCTAGATGTTAGGAAGAAACCAATTAGAACAATGTGTGATGGAATAAAGGATAAGCAGATGATGAGGTGGCATAGGAATAGGGAGAGTACAAAGACAGCTAGATGGGACATAACACCCCATTATAGTGAGAAGCTAGAGGCTGAGAAGGAGAGGGCCAAATATTGCAAACCAATTCAAGTTGGTGTGAACTTGTGGCAGGTTACAAGTGGGCAGCAAACCCATGTTGTTAACTTGCAAGTGCACACATGTGGGTGCAGAAAATGGGACCTCAGTGGCATCCCATGTAACCATGCCATCTCAGCAATCAACAAGGGCAAAAGAAAACCAGAGGATTATGTCAGCAAGTTCTTCAAGAAAGAATTTTATGTGGCAGCTTATGAACCAATGATCTATCCAGTTCCTGGTGAGCATGACTGGACAAAGACCCCTAGTCCAGACATTGACCCACCTGCATTTAAAGTGAAGAGAGGAAGAAAGAAAGAGAAGAGGATCGAGGGGAAATTTGAAGTTCCAAAGCCTAAGGACACATCAAGAATGGGGACTATAACATGTGGCAATTGTGGACTGCAAGGACATAGGTACACAAGCTGCCTCAAGCAGTTGAAGCCTGAGCTGGCTTTGAGGAAGAACAAACATGTGGTAATCCTCTTATAAGTGGTTTTCCTTCTTGTACATTCCATTTTTAAGTACTAACTCATTTTCCTTCTTGTTTATGCAAGCCTCTTGCAAGGAATTCCAATGGTGGTGGTGGTGCTACTACACCAGCAGCAAGAACCTCTCATGCAGCTCCTACAACAACACCAATAGCTGGAACAGGAGGTGCTGGGAGAGGAGCTGGGAGAGTAGCTGGGAGAGGTGCTGCAGCTGCAGGTGCTGGGAGAGGTACTGGGAGAGGTATTGCAGCTGTAGCAGCTCCAGCTTCTAGGAGAGGTGTTGCAGCAGCTCCAGCTGCTGGAAGAGGTGCTGGGAGAGGTGCTGGGAGAGGTGTTGCACCAGGTGCTGCAAGAGGTGCTGGGAAAGGGAGAGGTGCATTCTCTGATCCAAGACAATCTGGTCCCTCCACATCTACTGCTCCCTCCACATCTGCTGCTGGGAGAGGTGCTGGTGGTAGACATAGTGGATGTGGGAGGTACTTCTATGCAAGTGGTAACTAGATACTTCATGTGTGTGTTCTTGCATCCTATGATACAATGTCATCTTTGCTTTGGTGGTGTACTTTAAGAATCAATGCCATATATGGCTTTTGTTGATGTGGATGCAACTTATGAGTGAATGCCTGGAATGGACTATCTTCATGTGATATGTTGCTGGAGTTATTGATATGCTGGAGTTATTGATATGCTGGAGTTATTGATGAGTACTCATTATATTATGCAAGCTTGGATGGTTCTTTTTATGATTGATATGTTGTCTATGCTAAAAATGGTTCTTTTTATGATTGATATGTTGTCTATGCTCAAAATGATCCTTTTTATGATTGATATGTTGTCTATGCTCAAAATGGTCCTTTTTATGATTGATATGTTGTCTATGCTCAAAATGGTCCTTTTTATGATTGATATGTTGATGAGTACCACCTAAAGCCATCATTTTGGGTTTTGGTGGTTCGGGGTCGACGGAACCACCTAAAGCCATCATTTTGGGTTTTGGTGACTCGGAGTCGACGGAACCACCTAAAGCCATCATTTTGGGTCTAGGGTGGCTCGGGGTCGACGAAACCACCTAAAGCCATCATTTTGGGTTTTGGTGGCT